AATGTATTTAAGTAGTTTTCAATAAAGATTAGTTTTAATCATGTAATCTCTTATCCCCATAATTCCCTGTCTAAATGGCTGGTGCAAGTAATGTAAAAAAATAAACCCAAAACCACTATTGCAGAATCAGTCAGACTGTGATTCATATTCAGCACTTCCAAGTTGCAGGATGGCTCCAGAAAAGAGAAGTTGTTGTCATTGATAACTCTGATTAATAGAAATTTGAAAACAAGTATATTTGCATTGCTAGGAACCACCTCCACTGGACACTTGCAAATGTCCAAGAAAAGAAAAAGACATAGCAAAATAATGTAAATATTTTGAAGTCATGGGTACTCACACTTCAGCTAATGACACTGTGCACCTCTGGTAGTAGAAAATGGCTGTGCCTACAAGTGGCTGAACAGAAAGTCTGTTTGCACAATGTTACTCATGTCCATGCTGCTTAAGTCTGGCCCATTCTAGAGCAGCTTTGTCCTGGAAGAGGTCAGCTGGAGTGACCAAAATCAGCTGAGGTTTCAACTAACATCTAACAGTGAAGACAGTGAGGGTGCAGGCTTGAGCCTGTCACTCAGTCCCTTTTTTTGGTGTTAAAGCAGTAGCCATGTTGCAGCAGAAACTTGAACAGAGAGCAATGAAAACAAGTGGGTTTAACATCACTTTGCCAGCAGTAGTAAGGATATTTCAGTTGAGATACACTGGACTTGAGAACAACCTCTGGAAATCTCCAAACTAATTATACTCCTCTGATAAGGTTACTTATTAGAGTGACTAAAAGTGTGTGAGCTTATACAGCTGATGCTTTTTATCCTTTAATTTTGGGATGGGAATGAAAGGCATGTTTTTGGGACTGTTGCTTTCATCACTGAGTTTCCCAGGCAATTGAGTAATCTCTTGCTTCGGAGCCTTACAGTAAGTATCAAGCAAGGGATGAGAAAGATCTCTCAGAAGACCTCTGAGCACCAAGTGATCACTGAGTGCCACACACAAGCATCAGTAGACTGAATTCATTCTATCAATTTCATGAATGGAGTATAATAATAGGATTAGAGAGATGTGGTTTTGCACTACTTAGCACAATATTTGTTTATATGGAGAAAATGAATTGGAAAAAGAGGTGTTTGATGGGATGACAGTTTAAAAACATAATCTTCTAGAGTAGCAGTGAGAAGTAATAGGCTAGTGACAGAGCAAGCATATGCTTGGTAACGCACATGAAGGTCTGAGACCTCTGGTCTTGTCTGATCCATTTCTTTCACCTAGTTCATCACCTTTCTTTTCTTTCGCTTGTTCCCTTACTTCTCCCATTCCCACCAGCTCACCCAAAATATTATTAAGCAGATACGGATACTATACTATAACAAACCCGTTAATCTTGGTGCATCTATGCAGGCAGATAAATTTATTCACAGTTCTGCACTTGGACTCCAGAGACTCCTTTGGACCCAGTAAAGATCTTTTCCATAGTTCCTCACAAACCCTTTGTTTTTGCAGAATAAATTGGCTTATCAGGAGATAAAATCCACTGATTTTTATTTTTTTTTTCTGGGTTTCAATCCCACTTAAAATTTCTTTTTTCTTTTAGTTGTGCTCATTCTATTGAACCCTTCTTTGTCTGTGTCTCTCTGCATTACTGTTTGGCTTCATAGGTTCCAGATGTATTCCATGTCACAAATATTTGTGTCAGTCAAATATACAAGTCAAATACATGGTAACAAGTGTAGAAACTTTAACTTAGTCATAGCTACCACTTGACAAAGCCGTTCTTCGGTGGATTAAAAGATGAAGCCAGAACTGGTTTAAGTACAGAAAAGTTGCTGCCTGCTGCTGCTGCTCCTGGGCCTTTGGGAGCTAAGTTTTGCTTCCAAACCAGAGGGCATGTGACATGGAGGCAGTCAGAGCTTGGCTGCAGAAATCCTAGACATGGCACACCATCCCAGTTCCCAGATGCAGACCAAGAATTAGAAAGGGTGGCAATTCATAACATGGTTAGTATGTGAAACATCTGCACAAACTGAGGCATTGGGTGCATTCGTATAACTATCCACTGTTGGCAATGAATATGGTCGTGCTGAATATGATTAACTTGCTAGCACAGTCAAGAACTATTCTTGTTTCAGAGAGCCCATGTTAAACCTGCCTGCTTGGGAACCTGTGTTCAGAACTGCTTTAATTGCACTACTGCTGACACACGTTGTCAATAACAAGCATTTTTTCTGCTTTAAGCAAGGGCAAAACGTAAGGATGTTGCAGTGAGCCAGATCTTGAAAGCCCTCACTTAGCTTGTGTGCTTGGGATTTAAGCTGCTGGGGAAACTTTATGTCTCTGGCTATTCATTATTGCATACAATATGTTCTTGGAAGCCACTCCACATTTAACAGCACTTAAACCCATCTGCTGCTCCTGAATTTTTATTTCATTCATAAACCTGTTTTAAAAGTATTTTTGGACTTATCACCAATTTGCTATCAACTGTTTATTGTTCTGCTGTAAGTTGTTAAGAAGAATTACTCAAATTTTAAAGGAAAATTGTAGCCTCCTATATATTTTTGAGCTTCTCATTGAAAGTTGCCTTCCCCTCATTGTCTGGCATTATTGAAATTTTAGCACTTTGTGCTAAGTGCTGATTTTAGGGATTACTAATTGCTATGTGTAAAGCAATCACATCATTGGCACAAGAAACAGACTTGAATTTAGCACTATGAACACAGATGCTGTTCAGTATATTGAAGTTCCTGTAAATGCAACCATTTTTCATTGCTGTGTTTAAAAACACTATCACAAGTTTCTTTACACATCTCTTCTCCCTGTATTAATCTTTTATTGCTGTTACTTGGCATAGCAGTACTTCAGTGCCCTCTACATAAGATTAACAGAAACTTAGTAGTTCCTTGATGTTTTCTTCTTCACCTTTTGAACACTTTTTTTTAAAAAACAGAATATGCTGTTTTCCTCAGTTTTCCATGTGTGATTAACTCAAACGACACTGTATGATATTCTTGTATGAAGGTAATTTTTGTTGGAGCAAGGGACTTCCCAGTATTTAATATGTGCTAATTTTTCTTCCATGGCACTAAACTGATCCTTCCTTAATCCACAGATTAACAAGGCTTTCCAGACTATCAGTGTAGTTTAACCCTTTCTAAAAGTGAAATAATTAAGACACTGAATCCTGTTTGTCTCTAGGTCTTGCCTAAAAACTTGGACTGGATTTTGGAAAGTGAGTTCTCCCAAGGGATCACAAATGTCATGGTAGTTCATAATATTTAAGGTAGCTTGTAACATATATTTTTCTTTCAACTAAAGAGCAGGAGATTTAGATTTTCTATTCAATAAACCCCAAAACTTAATGTATTAATACTCAGTAGCAACTAGTATTGATGAAAATGTCTGTTAAACCTTTTAAAAAAAAGGACTTATTGGGGTAAGATTCAGTTGTTTAAGACAAGCATCTGGTGGTATTTTAGATGTCTTGCAAGATCTGAGATGTGCATGTGAATGTCAGAAAGGAGAGAAGGAAACCCATACACTCTGAAGCAGCAGCTGAAGATAAAGTGATACTTTAGTGCATCTAAGCCAACTCTATTTGGAAAACTCAATCTCACCTTTAGGGTTGTCATATTTGCAACATACAATGTGATGTCTCTGAATAATGCTGGTTATAAATGCCCTGAGCCATTCTCAGGAGTTTCCCACATCTCAAAGGATTCTGCTCCTCGCTGACTCATCTAAATGCCTGAAGTTTGACAGCATCAATATAAGCCTCAGCTCTTAAGAATTCTGTTGAATGAAAGCAGTAACCTTTTCAAGTGGAGCTAGAAGTCCCTTTTCCTTAGATTATAAGTAACAATAAAAAAATATTATACCCTGAGGTTTTTTTAGGGTCAGTAGACATTCTTTACACCAACAGTGTTTCAAAACTTCTCTGAGTAACTTGTTAGCCTAGTGGTTTTATGTTTGGTGATAATCTTGCAGGTGAGAATGAAAAAGTGTTAATTTTTGTCCTGTTTTGTTTTTAAAAGGTTGCTTTCTTTAGTAATTTTGAAATGAAAAGTGTCTTAAATTATATATTAGAAGGTGAGGCTCAGCAGTACATGAATATCATAATGAATATGGCCTTTGTAAAAACACTTTTCAGTACCTCAGACATTAAAAATTCTGCAAAAAAAATCCCAAAGCAAACAATTGGAATCAGAGCTGCAGAGATAGTAATTTTTTGTTGTAAAAAACTGCAATCCTTGCACCATATGTCTCCCTTTTAGTGGCAGGGCTCTTCCATATTGTTGTTTGTTAAGAACTCGTGTCTTCTTTACAACTGGGTTGACTCATGCCTAGGTAGGAGCCTGAATTCCTCACAGATTTTCCTTTTTCACTAAAATGAAGCCTGATCTTTAAAAGTAAATGTGTAGTCTCCTGCTGTTAAAACTTCATAATTTCATAGCGATAATTAGAGTGGGTTTTAAAATGTAAAAGCAACAGGGTTATTTCTAATTTTAGCTGGAAAGAGGTGGATTGTCAAGAGAATGTTTATTTATTCCTTGTAACGTTTTTGCTTGATTTGCTAATAATTACTCAAGATTGGTAGATGTTGCATACTAAAAATAAACTGAAATACAGTAATAGAGTGCTAATTTTTTTAAATATATATCCCTTGCTTGTTCTTCTTTGAAGGATAAAAAGCTATTCCATAGATATTTATAATCAATAATATTCATTCATAATTTGAATATTATACAATAAAATGCCATTTCAATTTTATTAAAAACCCTCTGGGCAATTCAGCATGTATTAACATCAGTTTACAGCTTGGAGGGAATAGATTACATGCCAGATTATTTCCCAGAGAAGTAATAACAAAAATGAGCCCATCATCCCCCCCCCAAAAAAACCCCAACAAAACACCTGGGAAGCAAATACACACAACTAAGCACCATATGCAAACGTGATGAAAAATCTGAGTTTGGAACATGTCCTGAGTAGATGTCTCTATGTGCTTCCAGAAAGGCCAAGAGGAAGAAAATCCCACAGGTAGAGGCCTTCAGCTGGGACCTTTTCCTGAAATGGAATGGACTAATTCACAGGTGAGAGTAGTTAATTTAGCTGTGAGAAATAAGTGAGGAAAGGATATAGTTGCTGGATTGCTGCTTCATAGTTTGGCCAATTATTTTTTTTTCAGCAATGCTCCCCTAGACCCAAAAACACCTGTTTCAAGTTAAAAAAAAAGTATATGCGTGAGCACTTTCATAACTTCCAAGATGTTGTGGCATATAAGTCTCAGCTACATACTAACCAAACCAAAACCAGATTGGGCTATTAGAGGAACAATTTGACCTCATCTGTCTTTTGACATTTGAGGAAGCCCACCATGTTGCCAAGGTAGTTAGTGGAGAGACTCTTTCTGAGTGAAGTTCTTCTAAACTGTTTTGGCTGTCTCCTTTAGATCAAGGTGGATCATGCCCTGCAAATTATTGTCTCTCTCCATTGTCTAGACATTTGTCAGATATAAATGTCTAGACCTGAGATATCTTATGTGGTCAAGAAAATTTCACATCTGCATTTTTTAATTTTCTTTTTATTGTCTGTTGGCCTTGCAGAGAAGGCAGGTTGGCAGGACCAACCCAGAGTATAGGACAGAAAGATGAGGTATATTTATGTTGAATAGTGCAGGCAAGAGCATACCTGAAGTTGTTTGTTGTTTGTTTTGTTTTTGTTGTGGGTTTTGTTGTGTTTTTTTTTAATTGAAGATCTTTTCCAATAGTGACATTGTCATTGAAACTAATAGTACAAAAATGCCTCAAATCAAAGAGGCCAGCGACTATTGTGCCAGGATAGTAACCTCCATACATTTATATTATAAAAAAAATTCAGTGTAGTTTATGTTGCATTTGTGTGCTCAGTTTTCAGTGAATGACCTCCTGCCATTATGATAATACATGTGTGAGAAACTTGATATTTCAGTTATTTGCCAGCTGGGTCCTTTGCAATCTCAGGAGGAATAGAAGGCAGTTTAAGATATCAGGATAATGCACACTAAATGGGATATTTCTGATAAAAGTAGTCTAAAGTGGTATATTGTTGATGTCAAAATTGCTATCCTTTGATTTCGGAGCTAACAAGACACTGAGATAAATAGGGTGGATGACAATTTTGAGTGACCCTTGCACAGCTCTCTGCCAGCTACATATCAATTTATAATGGCTTAGAATGTCAAGGTAGTTTTCCTAAATATAAGGGACAAATATATGTGGCATTTAAGATGCCAACCCAGGATGAATTCACTGTCGTGTACAGTGGATAAGAACTCTATAAATTGATACTCAATTCTTGTCTTCTAGGATTTTGAAAAAGGTTTAATGAAGCTGGTTTCTTGAATTATTTTGGGTGCAAATAATGACTTTTTTGCTGTTTTTTTGTAACACCAAAAAGAAGAAATGAAGCTAGTCAATCACTGTATAACTAATCCTGTCATTTATTCATGCAAAGATGAACAAAAATCTCTGATACTCTTCAATACTGAGTGGCACACAGTAGGAGGGAAGGGCTGTTTGCTTCTTAACAAGCCCATATGGTGGTAGGAGATCCAGTGTCCCTTCTATGCAAACACCACTGAATCTTTAAAAGCATGTTAAGTAACATCTGCCAGTGATAAAATAAATACAGCAGAAGGCTCATTATTTGATAATTTTCACCTAAGAGCCGTAAAAAAGGAGGGTGAAGAGATTTGTTGGAATATTTTTTGAATTTTAGAGAGATGGAGTATGAGTGTCATGCTGTTCTTTTTATCTTTTTTTAATCAAAAAATGCTGCAGAGCAGGTTAGCTCTATGTCAGCACTGGAAAAAATATTGGAAAGATTAATGAGGGTGTAGCTCAGAAAGCAATCATAAGAGTAAATTAATGGTCAGAATAAATTAATGGTAGTCAGAATAATTTTCAAGCAAAGCAATTATGTTAGATAAACTTCATCTCAGAGTGTGAATTTGCTTGATGAATGGTCCTGGGTGTTGTTTAGGCTTTGGCAAAATATTTGATTTAATTTTACATTGTTTCTGATATAAATAACTTTATCAAAATAATATTCCTTAAGGAGTGACATTGCAAGTACCAGTCAATGAGAAATGACCCTTTTACAGCAATTTTGAAGAATAGTTACCCACAGTTTTGAGTTGGATGTGGACAAAGTATTTCAATATTTTCACAAATCGTTTGGAAAGCAGCATGAGTTCTTGGGTGGTAAAATATGCAACGATGCAAAGATTGAAAAAGTAGGAAAAAAGAGGCCACAATATTCAGACAGAGCAATCCTGTTGCAGTCTAGCCTGGTAAGCAGAGGCCACTCAAAATCATTATTACCTAGAAGAGAAGTATTGCACAGGCAGAAAGAAGCAATGCCAGCCATACATACACAAGGGGGACCCCTATGGTGGAAATAAATGACACAAAGAATGTTCCAGAGAAAAGAACAGACAACTCAGCAGGGCTTGTACTGTGAACTTTGTTAAATAAAAGGGAGAATAAAAGTTAAGAATAAGGAGGTGGTTTTATTTGTATGTGCAAAAGTGAGGTTATGGAAATATCATGCCAATTTTTAGAGTCTATACTTTTGAAAGACATTGAATATATAAAAAGGGATAGAAGAGAGACTTGAGCGGAGCAGAATTCTTTCAGAGAGAGACCTGACTTGATGACAGTGTATTCCTTTGGGAGACTGGGAATAAGAGGATTCTTCAGAGTTGCAGAGAAAAGCAGAATACGTACCAGGGTGAAAGCAAAGAAATGCTAGGCAGGTGTTTTAAGCAGTGAGAATATAGGAAAAACTTTAAAGGAAAGTGGTAGAACTCAATCTCATTATGTTTTCCAAATTAGGTGCTTTTCTGAAATAGATACACCCACTTCAGTTTAAGACAAGATATTGCTGCCAGTCTTAGGTGCTGCAGTACATTAGACTAACCTCTGTGATCCAAATATGCTTTCTGCCTTAAAGCCTGAATCTTTTAGGTGCCTATTCTTTGCTCCAACAGTCAGCAAAATTTCCTCAACACAGGAATGTGATTAGATGACATAGCTGAGGGAGATTCAACTCACATCACTGATGCAGTCTATCACCTTCTTCCCCAGCCACCAGTTCAAACAAAGAAATGTGGAGCTGTATTATTTGGTCTAATGAGAGCATTTACTTCCCTTTTACTTCCTTCCCATGGATGAATGGAGACTAGCACTGCTTTTCTAATTTTATGTTTTCCTTAGTCTGAGATTTGCAGCTTGCACGTTAATGCAAACATGAATCAATCAGACTTTCTGTGGAAGCTAGAAGGCAAGCTACGCACAGCTGCCTTTTGAAATTTTGCTGGTGGCCTCTCAAGAGAAGAGGCTCCTCAGAAATAATGACACACCTGTATTCTCTGTTATCTACACTTCTGTTATTAATGTCTCAGGCAAAAAAAAAAAAAAAAGTCAAAGTTATTGTGAGGTCCTTAGGTTCACTTTGTTGTGCTTTAGTTGCAGATCTGTCTTTTTTGTTGTTTATTTTTTCAACTCCATAATACCCCAGATCATATAGCAAGTTCAATTGTATAGAATCCTCAATTCTGACGTAATTTCCTGCAGAGGTCCCATCTCCTGGCCTACACATGTGGAGGATGAATTTTGAGTTCTTACAAGATCATTGATTTCTGGATTCATTTTCCTACATAGGCTTGTGTCCTGAAGTAGCTACATTTTTATTAAAACGGCAAAGTTTGATTAAGAGGGTTTGATGTTGTTTCAGTGCTGTGTGACTGCCCTCTAGTCTCAATGTTATTTTGTACAACTGATTGAAGATCAGGTGATCTTTAAAAAGAGATTCTAGGCTCAAGATATGTTGTTGCAATTCCTGGCTTTAAAATTAGTCTTTTGAATTATCTTGGACAGTTTGATTCTTTTTTTTTGCCTTTGCTTTCCTACCTGTAAAAGGAAGATAACATTTTCTTTCCTTTTGAAAAGTGTTTTGAGAAGCATCACACTGCCTGAAGAGTCTTTAGACTTCTTCTATCTGTTTTTTATAAATATTTTATTATTGTACAACCATTATATATATTCTCAAGCAGGGAACGGTATGTTCTTATACATTAATATTCTAGAACATTTAGGCGTAAAAAGAAACTGAGATACCCTAGGCTACAAGTCTATAGATGCACTGATCAATACCTAAAGTTAATTAAAATTATATTTGTTTTGTCCTCCCACTACACCCCATTACAGCATTTCTTTTCTAGCTCCCTGCTTTGATTTGCACCTAAACTGAACTAAAGTATCATAGCTTATTCTCATCCTGCCTACCCTGTATTATTCACTGAGAGAAAGTGACTCTCCTGTTAGGCAAGGATGAAATGGTCCATTGTTCAATTCTGAAGTCTTCCAAAAACACGTGCTCATGGTTTTTGTTCAACTCACCAGCAAAGTTTGTCTTTGTCTCAACGTCTAAAAAAAGTTAAATGCCAGGTAATTATGGGTCTAAGACTGGTCAAATTCTGGTGAGAGCTGTAGAGCAATGGTTTATGACTGCTGCTTCGTCTTTTACACTTGAATTGGAAACTCTCTGAAGCTTGGCCACTCCATGATTTTTTTTAAATCCTGGACTTGCTGAAAGGTTTAAGCAGTGGAATCCCAGTCCTTGACACTAACTCTGAGATGTTATAGTGATGAATATAGGGCTAATCAGAAGCTAACATTCTTTGCACAGCTTTAACCGTTCAACTGGGAAAAGAGGACAGAGCTCCTGTGCTCCTTATTGTAATGTGAAAAATGCAGTAGAGAACAGACAGTTTGAGTCTCAAAACCTGATTCTGTTAAAGTGAAATTTCTCTGATGTACAGATCCACTTCCTGTGTGTTCTCAGGGACATGTTTAATAGCTAAAATAACTATTTAGCCTTTTCTCCTGCTACGCTTTAAAAAAATGAGTCTTTGATATTGCCTATGCACCCCTATAGAATAATTAACTCACTCATTTCTCTGTGAAGAATTTTTTTGCTGAAAATATTGCATGGGTATTGGGAGCTCTAATTTTTCTTCAGTATCTTCTTCTTCTTTATGATTTACTCA